CACTGAGATCTTATTCCTGCCCTGTTTTTACCTGACACTTTGAGACAGAATTAAGTACACATATGATCATTTTTACTAACTTGGTAAAGTTGCAGATAGACAGATCGTAAGAATAGTATTAACGTTAGCCTACAGGCTAGCAGAACTTACCTTCATAATTGCACAGGTAGGAAGATGCATAAAACTTGAAACCTTTCTCAAGTTTGCTCTGCGGTGTTGTAGTGCATATCCGGACAATCATTTGCACATCGTTGACCATAATTAACTCGCAAAGAGCGAGTTAATATTGACGACTCTGCCATAATACTGTTTACCTTCGCTTAAAATCACCCGGACCGGAAGCTGGACCACGGCCTTAGACAAAACGCGGAAGTAATGTGTGCATATAGCCCATAGTCTAGTGTCTGGGAATGAGCTTTTTATGGTGTCTGTTATAATGTTAAAGTTGTTTACTTGTGTTTACATAGATGAATATGGCCACTTTGTAAATGCACAGTACAGTTACGAGCTTATTGCCTGGCCATTATTCGACAAGATCCAGGATCTTGTAATTGGCATCAAACACAACTTAAACATTGATCCTGTGAATTCCTTTTCTATTGACATATACCTCCTTATTTACAGTCGGAGCAATGATGCGAACATAAGTGCCATCAATGGCTCCAACAACTCCAGGGAAGCCCGCAATCCTTATAAAAGTCTCTTGGTTCTGCTGTACAGTTTGGAGGTCACTTTTTGTAGTCATTGAACTGCTTTATTATGTTTGATGGTGTTAGTGCTGCTATAATGCTGTTTATGACTTTGCTGATGTGGATTGTGATAGTCCTAAGGGCAAACCCACAGTATGTTATCCGAACCGTGTCGTGGCCCGTTTCCTGGATTGTTTGAGAAGTGCGAGTGCTCTGAATCGGGCTCAGGCACGGTTCAGTTGGCCGGCCCTGGCCCGGTAGGAAGAGGTGTGCCAGAATGTGGTTTACTTGGGCTCAGCCCAAGACTGAAGAGCTCGAAACTGAAAATGAGACGTGACTTTAAAGGGACTGTTTCATATGGATTAATTAATTATTCTTACTGTTCATTGAACGCAAACTGTCGTAGATTATCAAAGACCCAAACCCCTCACTGCACGACAGCTGCACCTTCACCAAACCTCCTAATTCCTGCAGCATGAGGACTTTATGATTATTTATCAGCGTCTGTGATTGAGATCAGTGATTGATCTGTTCGGCTAAATGTTTGACTGTGTATCACTGCATGTCAAATGACTAAAATGATATAGCTAAAAAAATCTCCTATGTGCTGAGCGAGAGCGCTTCTTACTGAACAGTGCATCATCGATGACTAAAGTGTGCTCAGGCATGAATGCAATGTGAGTACGGGCTGTCAGGGAAGACGGAAGGGGGGACAAGCATGTTTCGGCTCGGTTCAAGGCAACTGTACATAGTGTGAATACGCTCCAAGTCATCGCTGGTGCACTGCTGCATCTTTCCAGTCACCAAAAAACACAGAGTCATTATTACCTTCATTTCTGCATGTTTCGTGGAGTGTGAGAAGTTATTGGATTTCTGACTAGATTAGTTACAAAAAGAATACCTTCATGATCAAATGTTTTAGCAACTCACTGTCATCATATAATTGCAACACATTTTCTTGTTCTTGAAAGATGTGTGGTCTCGTATTTCTAACTAGGTTAAGATACATGCCAAATCACACTTTAAGTCTAGAAAAAAAAAATAAAATGAAGTCATTCTTAAAAATTTGACAGACACAAGAGTAAAATTCTACACTGAGCCACTTTATACATACGGCCCCTGAACTCCTTATAGCCATTTAGAAATACCCAGAGGAGAAAATGCAGGAATGGTCTTTGTCGAGTGCATCATATGTATGAGTAGGCATTGACAACAAAATATTCTGGACTCATTTGAATTACGCATAAAGCTGTCTTTTAAAGTGGAAATATGGCAGAGTAAGACCTAGTATTTCTATTATAGACTGTTGCAGTCTTGAGTCTGATGCACTGACTGACAGAGTTGTGACATAAATAAACCGCTATTGGCTCTTTTTGGAAAATGGGGAGGAGCTACTCTATTCAGGCCTGTCTTCCTTTTAAAGTTATGATTATGTGAAAGGATGAATAAAAAATGCACAATTCAAAGCACTTCACTCAAAAAAAAAGAAAACTTGGCATAAATCACATCTGTAACCACGTGAGGGATGACTTACGAGTTAAATTGTGATTCTTAAGGTCTCCTGTTTAAACCCTCAAACTTCAAGCATAAACAATTGCAAATGAGTATTTTTTTATTTATTAGTAAAACTCCATTACCAGTAATTGTTACTCCAGATATCTTTCTGGAAGCTTGAAGAATCTAAATGCCAGGATGTCCAACTTTAAAATGGCTGAAACTGATCTCATTTCATTTGTCGTGGTCTCTTTTCTGACTGCAAGAAATATTTTGCAATAAAGCTTCTGCCTCAGAGGGACAGAAATCAAAGTGTTAAACTGCCAAACTCGCTCACATAATGACACCGCCAAACGGCTCCAATTGCAACCCTCAGCTTGCAAGTATATAAGAGCTTTGCTTGAGAAAACAAACCCGTTCACACACACCCCTGGACTGAATGTGGTGATCATTCTGCCAAAGCAGGTGAATGTGTTTGAGACCAATTAGACGTGAATGCTAGAGTTTCCCATCAGTGGGGGCAGGAGGAAATTACGGGATGGGAAAGCAAGTAAGTGGATTGACCAAAACAACACAGGGTAAAAACAAGAGAAACGCTGAGACAAAGGGAAACTGATTCATTCTGTGGCTTTAAATTTTTGAAATCGCAACACATTTACAGTAATTGTGATGGTGACATTGCTTTGACACAGATTTGAGACAGATGGGAAGATGACTAATGCAAAACATAATCATACAATTTCACAATGATTTTTAGGTGACACCCAAAAAAAAATGTCATCCAGTGTTACAGATTTTTTATATCAAAACAAAAGAATCCTTCAGCCCGATCTCACAAGGAAACATACCTATTTTACATATTATCAAAAAAAGTGTCTAATTCATGTAAATTCATACATTTTATTCAAATGAAAATGTATGATTTTTGTGCCTCAAAACCCCATCTCTAGTATGGAGTACTAGTAAATCATACTCATACAGAGTAGAGTAAATCGTACTAAAATGTATTTAGACATTTAGTAGGTTATTTTCTCATGACATCATTGATGACATGCGAAATTCAGATGGAGGGCAGGAAGTGGTTCTTTTACATAGATCTATAATTGTTTAAATCGACCAAAATAAGAAATGCAGGATAGCTTTTATAGACTTTAAAAAGTTTTAGCTCATAAAGGGGAGAAAGTTTAAGTAACTGGCTGAAAAAAATGAAGAGAAAAAAAAAAGAAAAGGCGGCATAAACATTCATTCAATACATCCGTGTACAACCTTTTGGAACGCAGTAATTCGTTTGACAGCACTAAAAAGATTACATACAGCCCTAGCTATGTGTATAAACATGCTAATGTATTATCTAAAAATCATATTCAAACACCACCACACCTATTCAAAATCCAGGAGAGTAGAAATAACGTACCCTGCCATGTAATCACTGCAATTAAATATCTGTCTTGCTTTGCAATAATTTATGTCTTTACTTGTGTTTCGGCAGAATAAATAACCGTAACATGAACATTGAGATGTGCAGTAGCAGTAAATGTTTGTTGATGGTAAGTTCACCGACAGAAAAAAGAAATGCAACCTTTGTGACAAAATTAGATGGTTATTATTGTGGAGCACTTTTCCCCCTTACAAAAGTAAATAAAAAAATAAAAAAAATAAATAAATAATGTAATTATGCGTTATGTATGCTTTTATGCTTTCAAAAAATGAAGAGAAAAAAAGGCGGCATAAACATTCATTCAATACATCCGTGTACAACCTTTTGGAACGCAATAATTCGTTGGACAGCACTAAAAAGATTATATTTTGTGATGTCTAAAAGATATCTGCATGGGGAAAAAACTACAGTAATTTATAATAAACATATTTTTGAATAACATACAAAGTGTCTATAACTATTTGTTAATAAATGAAACTGAAAACTGTAGCATAACAAACTGATAAACTTTAAATACTGTAACGCTAGAGGAAACTGGTGTTGCGATGGTGTATAATTATAGCATAGAAAAGTGAAGCCAATTGAATAATTTGTTTATTACTACAGTTTGTCGTACCACGGCAACAATTTTATTACCACAACAGTTTAATTCAAGTAATTAACTATTCTAATAAACACTATAGTGTTTACTATAGGATTTTTTTCATGTAACGTAATAACATATCTACCACATCGATAAAAACATGTAAAAACAAAGTAAAAAACTCAGCCCTCTTCATTATATAAGGATCATGCCCAACATATGTGTTTATTTTCTATTTATACTTCCTTTGAAATATGGTATAAATAGCTAAAATAGACTTTCCTCTGTGTCTCCCAGATTCTTTTGTCCAAAGTGACTCACAATTGAGGAGGCATTCAGTGATTCAACAAAAAGAAGCAATACATACAAGAAGTGCTAGTTAAGCAAAGTAACTTGTTTGTGGTCAGAATATTTAGCGCTAGAATAAGAGTACTAGAGTTTTTTTTTTTTTTGAGAGAGAGAGAGAGGGAGAAATGAAGTGAGTAAGAAAAGTGTTTCTACAGGTGTTTTGTCAAGCCTACTCACCTGTGTGAATTACACTTTATAAATGCATTGTTAGTGTTAGCTATTGTGTTAAGAGATTTAGGAGTGTGTTTTCTACAGGAGGTTTATTCAGCCCACTCCCCTGCTTGAGGAACACTGAAAATGTATATGGAGTTAACTAGTTAACAAAGGTTTGACAGTGGTACCACATCTCACTTTGTCTGCCTAACCAATCACCTACTCCCTAAAAAAAACGTATTTAAGGTCCATGCTGGTAAATTTATAGTATTATGGGGTGGTGTTTGATGAGGTTTTAGGAGAATTATAGAGGAACTTTTATTATGTAATCACTATATAATCACTGTATAATCTGCCACTATTAAAATACACTGTTAAAACATATAGAAATACATTCAAGTGATGCAGAGCAAAACACACAGAAGTAAACAGCTGTGAAGTAAGACCATTCAGACAGCATATGCAACATGTATTGATGTATTGACCATGACAAAAACAACTTAAAAACAACTTTGCTCAACCTGCATGGCAAAAGCATGCATAGGGAGAATCATTTAAAAAGTGTTGAAATATGACCTTTAAGATGTGCAAAAACAGAAAAACATACAGCCATCAATATAAAGGCTAGAATCCTATTGGAGCCTGGAAATAACGTGATGCTCATGCTACACCACTGTTTCATGATGACTATAGGAAAAACCTGTATATAAACTGTGGGTTTTGGAACATTGGTAGGAGAGAGATCGATCGACCAACTCTGCTGTAACAATAAACTGCTTCAACTTGACAACTTCGAAGACCTCAGCCTCTTTTTTGAAACTTAGAAGATGTTTGACGAGATCCAGCGCAACTTTCCACAACATAATTTGGCGCCCAACGTGGGGCTGGATTGAGGGTGGTCGAAAGAAGGTGTCAGTGGGCCGATCCTTGGCAGACACTCACGCAGAGACCAAAAAGCGCGCAGATTAAAAAAGGTGAGCAAATTTTTGCTTTATTTTGGTTCTCTGATGAGTGTACTGTGAGGTGGACCAGACGCCTGAACTTGACTTTAAAAAAATACCTCACCATTAAAAAGAACCTTTGAATTGGCTACATTTATTAAAAAGAATGATAAAGTAAATGATAAAGTAATAAAAGTATAGTGAAGTGAACTATTTATAAGAAAAAGAGGTCTTCCAGGTTGTCAAGGTATGTGATTGTACTAACAAATGGCTGTAAATTATGCACTTACTAATGGCTTTGTATTATATACTAACAAAGGGCTGTAAATTATATGCGTATGAAAGAGAGGTACATGCATGAATTGCTACGCGAGAGGCGTGAGCAGAACGCGCGGAGGCAGCGCTAGAGTTCGCTCTTTATAGATGTAATCGGAGAAAAGGAGCGCTCCGCGTCTCTGTACCCGCCTGTGGATTGAGTAAGACTCTCCCGATAGGGGCAGGGAAATTGGGAGGAGGCCTTTAATCTGATTCCAAAAGCACCTATAGGGAGGGCTGGATCTCAGTGAACTGGCCTGTGTAAGTCTTGTTAGTCTATATGTTGTGTTTTTATGTGGTGGTCTGGACCAAAGTGAATGGGGAAATTTTTTCTTACAATTCCTAGAAAAGAGGATTGAATAAGAAAGCATATAATGCGAAATCTGTGAATGAGGATGCATGTGATGAGAGAATTGAATTTAAAGCATGAGTAGGGTGTGTGCTTAAGGATGTTGAGTGTTAGAGAGAAATTTCTGAGGTGTAGTGTGAGAAAAAAAGTAAGTATTATAATTAAGAGAATAAAATATATAGATAAAAATATGAATTGATTAGAGAATTAATAAAAATTGCACATGCTGTGCTGGAGGGACAAAGCAAACAAAGTGGCCACAACAATTAAGAAAAGCAGTTTTGCATGTAAAAAAAAGTTTGGTTTGTCTCCCAGGACCTGCTTGTGATGATAAAGACACTTCAACCGTTCCCCCAAATTAAAATAAATAAAAGTAATATAAAGGAAGGCTTAGATTCCAGATTAAAAAAGAATAGTTTGCATGCAAATGATCTGTGTCTGTTTGTTAAGAGGCCTTGATAGCGACAGACGTTAACTAGTAACTGTTACTCAGATTTGGGAAGTTATTTAATGATGACATACATAGAACAGATTTAGATTTCAAGAGTGAATTCTGAATGTGTGGTGACAGTTAAGAGATTAAAAGCAGATTGGATTATAGAGATGTGCACAAGGAAATTTGTGTGGTTATTGCTTTAGTATTGTGTGTGTCTGTGTTTGTGTGAATGGTTGTGTAAAATTCCATATTAGTGGACAAGCAGAGCCGCTCTCCTGCACCATCCCTTAAATAGAGCATGGCAGAGATGGACGCTCTCTGTGTTACACTGAGAGGAATGAATGACTGAATGTAGATGTAAAGGGACAAATGTTGAGTGAATGAGTCCTCTAAATGTGAAGGACTAGAATGTGAGAGTGTGTTTAAGTGTTTGTGTTTAGTAGTTTAATTGTGATAAATAGTGAAATAAAATAATCATTATTGTAGATTATAATATTATAATATTATATATATAATATAAAGATGGACTGCAGATATTGTGTGATATAGAAGAGGTATATATATATAGAAGAGGTATATGATATATACTGGAAAATATAGAAGAGACTGATACAGTTTAAGGAAGAGATTATAATATTTAGGAAATAAATAAATTTAGTTCAAATAGAAAGATATAAAGATAAATATTAAATTAAGGAGAAGTATATAACATAAGTTGACATGTGCATACAAAGAGATCATAATTTAAGTTCTTAGAATATAATTTAATTTAGGGAATAATAGCATCTGATTTAATATTAGTGAGTTGTAAAAGTGTATATTGCAAAATAGTATAAGATAAATAGGATAAAGTAAATACAATTTGGAAGAAAAATATGTGTTATATAAAATAATAAAGTAATAATTAAAAAGTAAACATTTAGGAACAGAGGGGAATAACACATCATAGAAAATATTAGAATTAGGATTTTAAAAAAAATATATATATAATATATATATATAAATATATATAAGATACTCATCTAAGAGAGAACAGAACAGAAAATAATGGCAAAAGGAAGGAACATTTGATGTAAGCAGTGTGTGAGAGAGAGAGAGAGAGAGAGAGAGAGAGAGAGGACAATGGGTCAATGACCAATACAGAGGGAAATTATGGAAGTAGCAAAATAACCTAAAATGGATGAAAAGCAAGTAGGGAAAGGTTAAAACTAAAGAGATGAGTGTGTAAAAAAGAGTGAAAAAATTTACTATAGAATTGAAACAGATTTTTAAAATGTTAGAAAAATTCAAACAATGTAAAGAAAGGCCAACTAGTGGGAAAACACTAGAATAGATTAGGAGGAAAAAACACAAGCTGAAGCTAAAGAAAGGAATTAGAAGAAAATTAAAGAAACAGAAAATTAAAAACGATACAGTAGACTTAGTAATAAATATTAAGAAGAATTAACTATTGGACAGCAAATAGAAGAACATAGATGAGAGGAGTCTTTATTTGATGAAGGAAAAATGGGAAAGTGGAAAAATGCTTAGATTATTAACTAAGCAAATTGTTATATTAAATTAAGGGGCAAGGAGATGGACTTTGAAGGGTCCGAGCCTTTTCGCCTGCCTGACATCCCTGAAGGCATTGGGAAATAGATTAAGGTGTTTTGAGAAACACAAGGAGCAACTTGTTGACTGTGGACTCTTATCACATGAACTAAAGCAGTGAGCCAGGCACTGCATACAGAAAGCTACAGAGACTTTGACCCATCGACATATGTTCAAGAGACACTTAAAGAAGGAGAAACAAGAGACTGATGAACTGATCAAAAAGCTAAACTTTCCAGCAACATCAGCTGGGTGAAAGTGAAGCCAGCACCAAGAGGGAGGAGAAATGCTCAACACTTTAACTCCTTAAATAAGCAGGAAGTGTGGGGATTCCTGAATATAACAATGCAAAGACTGCACCATCTATGGAACAGTTGCCTTGGGGTTTGAGGGAGAGAGATTGGCTATGGCCTAGCAAACTCAATCTCAAAAGCCCAGTAGACATATGATCCAAATCAAGTATGTTGCAAATTAAAACAAAAGTGTAGCCTTTCTTGTATCAAATCAGACTCCTGTCAATTGATTAGTTAGAAAGTTATTTTATAAAATAGGACTTTACATTTAGTAAAGGAAATTTGAATTAAATAAGGATTATGAAATAAAAAGATAATATATCTATTAATGAAAACAGATAGAAGATGTAATTAAGACAATTGATAATGGGAAAATAGATTGAGTTAAAACATTTCTGAAGCAGGGCTAGTAAAAAGAAGAATTTGTCTATGCAAATTTATAATTTTAAAAGAGATTTAGCCTTAGAAAATTATTATCAGGAAGAAATTGAATGGAAAAAGAACAGCGCAAGAAAAAAGGTCAACAGTGAAAAGCTCTAAGTGTAGTAAAAGATGATTTGGGGAAAAAAGGGTTTAATGTTATAGATTTTGTTTCATATATCCATACAAGTAAAAAAAAAAGGAAACTAAATTTGAGGACTAAAGAGTAAAGCAAAACAGAACAAAAAGATTAAATGATTTTTCAGATAGCTAAAATTACATGAAAGATGTGTATACAATCAAGTAGATGGGTTGCCTTCGAAAGTAAATATTAATAGAGAGAAGTTTAGAGAAAAAAATAAATAAATGCAACATTCAAATGAACAAATAGTTCAAAATGATTAAAAGAAGTACAGTTAAAATTATTATCATTGCAGGACTTGGATTTAGAAAGAGAAAATTAACCAGTACAGTGAGGTTTAAAATTAAACTAGATGCAGATCTGCAGAGAAAAGAAGAAAAAAGCTGAAATAGGTATAAAAAACAAAATTGAAGTTTTATTAAGAGTGGGAGTATTAACACCTAGTGATTATAATATGCAATACATAGGTCATTGGATATTTCTATTTAGATTATATTTCAAATCAGGTATGACAGTGTATGTAATTATTAAGATTTGAATTTAAATTGAATAAATACTTTAATTATGCTGCATCAAAGCAGGTAAAAAGCTGAAGATATAAGAAAAATAAATGAGAGAAAATTTGTCAACTGAAGTTCCTACATTTTATGAACAAATGTTCCTCCTGATGTCAAATATTGTTGATAATTAGTTTCTTTTCAGTCAAGTTTAGGTAATTAGCAAAAGAGGATAGGTACCTATTAGTATTTCATTTGCTGCTGAAAATTATACATACACAAAGTCTGAAGATCTTATGATGAACAGTAGTGTGTTACACTATATTTACACTATTACACTATAGTTACACTATATAGTTGATTTAAAGATCAGCAGCTCCATATAGCTCTAGCTCAATTAAAAGACAGAAAACCCATGATGACTTTTAGGGATGACTGAAATTTAGCATTGATGGAACAGAGAATTTTACAACAAACTGCACTAAAGAAAATTTATGAAACAGGAAAGACTGCAAACATAAGGCCCTAAATTAACAGGAAACACAGATTCAATAAAAGCATTTGAGATGATGAAAGAAAAATTAGTTTATCATTAAAGGAAACAATACAGATTTGAAAGTTAAACAAGTGATAGAATATGAGGTAGCAAGTCATCTATAGTGCTTATAGAGCTACAGTCTCAATTGAAGAACATTGTAAAAATTAAACAACAAAAAAGTCTCTGTGAACAATCTAGCATGAAAGGGGGGAAATAGCCTATATACATAAAAGACTAATTGTTGTGCCAACAGCATCTCCAAGTATACTTATTGCCGATGCACATGAATTTGATCAAGGGTGAAGTATTAGGAAAACTTACACAGCAAGGAGATTGGTATCCTTATTCGAATGCAGTGCTTAGTGAGTTTTGTCCATGTGACATCTATGCTAAATATAATGTAAGGGAAGGAACAGCGAGCAGTACCTGAAGTGACTTTTAAGCATTTAGTAATGAGGGTTTGAGGTTATATTAAAACGAGTACAAGGCAAGAAATACATGTTTGTACTACTTAACAGGTTGGGATTAAAATCTGGTTGTGATGATTAACTATATTTCTAATGAATAAAACATCCATTCTTAGATTTGGACTATCATCAGAAATAATTTCAAATAATGATTGTGCATTAATAAATTTAGAGTAATTAAAGTAAATTAAAAATAGCTAAATAAGTAAATAAGTGATTAAATAAATATTCAAATAAATAAATAAAACAGTTAAAGAAGTACTGTTAATTAAGAATGAATCAAAGGCCAGAGTGAAGTTTATCAAGAACAATCACAACAACTGGTCAAAGGCACCAAGAAGATTTATTAAGGCCATAACTTTTTTAAATAGCATAAAAAATGGTAAACCTGATTGAGTTTGGATTGGTAAACTGGACTGATGTGTAAACTGATGCTTTAAGGAGTTTTTATGTAAACTAACAGAAACAGGAACTTAACACTGCATGGAACGCTAATTGCACATAAGTATTTTTGTCGTATAAGAAAAACTAACTGCCATGTATGAAGTTATTTATTTACAGGAACAGAACAGGGAACGACAGAAGGAAGCTGTCTTGGAAGATGTTCCTGCTGTTGCTGCTGCTGATGATGCAAATAAAGATGAGTGAAAGCCTAGAGGTAACTTCTCCAAAGGTAAAGGATTATCTCAATCTGACAGAGTTGGACAAGAGTATCAAACAATTGTCTTTTTAATTTTTTGGAAAGAGGCAAATATCCCACAACAAAATGAATGTAAAGAACAATCATCTAAAGAAAAATGTCGACCCAGAGGATATGCATTAATCAAACTGATACATATGCGATTTATGAAGAAATTGACTGACCAAATCTCAGATTATGAACTCTTAGAAGAAACTAATAACAGTCATTGGTATCGTTGGACAAATACACAGTTGGAAAATTACAAATATCCAATTGCCCAATATGTTTTCTAATAGCCTCTATAAAGCTTATAGTGGTTATAAATCTTTATGATTATAGACATTGTGCAAAATACAGAAAAATAACTGCAATATACCAAACAGTGACTCACTGTTTTGCCAGGTTTGATGTCTTGATACTATAGGAAACTTCAAATTTACATTAGAGAACAATGATAGGTTGAAAAAAGACTGTAAAGAAATGAACATCAGAGTTCAACCAGCAGTAAGAGAGATCCCAATAAAATATGTGATAAATAAGAAATTAGAATATGAATGTTATAATCAAACGAGAGGATAAGAAAATGTGGAAAAATTTAAAGGAAATTGTGCAATAATTTGGCATTTGAATGACGAAATGTAGGAAAAAAGAAAATGCTTATATGCAAACCTTCCAAATGGCTACAGCTAAAATAAACAGTATAATGTTGCCAGTTTCTGAAGCTGCAATTATGAAAAAAAGTGATAAGGCAGTTAACCGCACACTTGGTATTTGTACTGGACAATGTACAATTCGCAAGATAATTTCCCCTAATACAAGAATATATACAAATAGTACACTATTACTGGATCTGTGGATCAGGAGTATTATGCGTCAATATTCCATTGAATTGAAAAGGGATTTGTACTAGAGTTAAACTAATACAGAAAGTGATAAAATGATTGGGTTAAAGAGGAAAATGACCTAGAAAGACCAAAGAATTGAAAGCAGCAGAATTATAAGCATAAAGTTAAGAGACAATATACACCTGACTCAGAAGTTCACATAGATACAATTGGCCAACCTAGTGGAATACCAGATACGTTTAAAGTTAGAGATATAGTAAAAGCAGGACTCGAGGTTATAGTAGTGTGTATAATTGCAATGAAAAATTTAAGTATGGGCTAACTACATTTATTACAACCAACAAAGATTTATAAATTACACAAATGATGCCCCTAACAGCATTAGGAGAACAATTGGCTCTGACAAGTAAAATTGCTTGTCAAAACAGTGCACCATTTGCTGCACCCTGTATATCCCAAATAATACTGCCCCAGGTGGATCTTTCATGGAAGCTATGCGGAAATTGGAAAACCTGAGAAAAGTAAAAGAAAATGCTGGAGCGGATAAGAACTTTAGTGACTGGTTTGCTTCTGTATTTGGATCATGGAGACAATAATTGCTCAAGATTGAAATATGAGCAATTGCTCTACTTGTTTTTGTCCTTCTCTTTTGTTGTGTTGTGCCTTTTCTTAGATTGATGCTGGTTAAAGCTGCTGTCAAGCAGATGGCAAATGAGCAAGTGAATAGAATTGTGCATGACTGCAGAGACCATGTCTATGAAGTCTTTGGGCCAGATTTGGACCAGTTGGATGAGTTTAAAAAAAAAACAATTACTACTTTAAATTTCTTTTTGTCTTTAATTTCTTTGAATTTATAACTTTTTACTAACTTTTAAAAGATGATGAGAGTTTTAAGCAAGGCATCATCCATAATACAGGAAAAAGCTAATAGAATGGACTAAACTGAAAAATTGTGTGATTATTTAAGCCCTATTTACTAGTATACATTTCTGTATGTATTTAGGAGTTCATCGAAGCTGCCGGAGCTCATATCAGATGTACACGGGGAAAGAGGGAAGATGATTACGGTTAAGGGACACCTTGGTATACAATGGCAGGAGATGCAGAAGAGCAGACTCTACTGGCGGTTTAAAAACCCACTGTCTGCTCCAACACCAGACAGTACTCAGAAGTACCTCTGGCGACGTGGGATAAAACATCAGAAATGGCTCTTTTACAGGCGCAGAGAATATTCTACAACTATATGATTTCTATTAAACGATGATCAATCAAGTATATATGATGTATACCCACAACTGTGAGCAAGGCTGACAAGCATATGATTTTAACCTGTCTAATGATTATTGTGTGTTGAACTCCCCAAAAAAAGTATTCAGTTAGGGAGAGCGGGATCTTTTACTCCCTTTAAAGTCAAAAGTAGAGGGAGATGTTTGGTTCTGTTTCTCCTCTGAAGTGCGGCGGAAGGATGCTGACAATTGATAAGGATGTAGATGGGCAACTTTTTGGTTGCACAAGTATGTTAAGACTTTGCAAGTGTTGGATTCTTAAGTTGCACTTCAGCGAGGGATTTAGGAAAAGGACTTTTTTGATTAAGTCCTTAAGGGGGGATTTATTTAGGAGAATTATAGAGGAACTTTTATTATGTAATCACTATATAATCACTGTATAATCTGCCACTATTAAAATACACTGTTAAAACATATAGAAATACATTCAAGTGATGCAGAGCAAAACACACAGAAGTAAACAGCTGTGAAGTAAGACCATTCAGACAGCATATGCAACATGTATTGATGTATTGACCATGACAAAAACAACTTAAAAACAACTTTGCTCAACCTGCATGGCAAAAGCATGCATAGGGAGAATCATTTAAAAAGTGTTGAAATATGACCTTTAAGATGTGCAAAAACAGAAAAACATACAGCCATCAATATAAAGGCTAGAATCCTATTGGAGCCTGGAAATAACGTGATGCTCATGCTACACCACTGTTTCATGATGACTATAGGAAAAACCTGTATATAAACTGTGGGTTTTGGAACATTGGTAGGAGAGAGATCGATCGACCAACTCTGCTGTAACAATAAACTGCTTCAACTTGACAACTTCGAAGACCTCAGCCTCTTTTTTGAAACTTAGAAGATGTTTGACGAGATCCAGCGCAACTTTCCACAACAAGGTGAGGAAAAGAAGAGGGGTTTTGGTTTTATTCATCTGGCTTCAGGTGCTCTTGGAAAGAGTTTATTTTAAAGCTGTGAAGACTGATGGAAAATGAAAAGTTGTGAAGTTCTAGGTTTATAGGCCAAACGAGGGATAATTTTTCATATTATAAAAACATTTGTGTTGCTGTGGATCCCTGTGTGTGTAATAAGCCTATTACCAAAGACCATAGAATACACAAGACATGCCACTCGTATACTTTTGAATGGGTAAAAGTGTAACTGTCAATATGATGATTAAAGCCCCGCCTTCTAGTACAGGAGCCAATCAGCGATTGCTATAGAATGACAATCTCTGGAGGAGGGTCTCGGACCAGACGTGAGTTTCTGCAGATTTTGTGTGATACGAACATTTAAATAAGGAACTAAATAGACAGTTGAAAAAAAAAAAAAAACTGTACAATTCATTTAAGATCAGCTTTTAGATGGGCAATGGTGCCATCTGTTTCATTTGCCCCAAAATAGCAAACAGCTAACAATGCACCCTTATTATCAGATCACATACAAACATTACTTTGCTGTTCAAACAATGTGAGCACAGGACATGAAAAAGATACATGTGCCATAGCTAAAAAAAAAAAAAAAAAAACCTGTGCTTCGCATCTGGTGCCACATTGTGGCGATTGTATAAGGGCTCATAGTGTTTCTTTAGTCACATCGCCATCTACTGGCCTGGGATGCATAATAAAGCATTTTTAATGCGAATGAGGCTCACTTTTATGCAGTGTGTAAACCCGACGCGGCATGTGCAAATACAATTGCGCTATTTGTGCATAATGCATGAACATTTTTAGTATACTTGCTTAAATTGAGCATCAAATTCACTGGAGGCAAGGCCTCTGTCTGCTCAGTGACTCTAGTTTTGTTGCTAACTGGCTAACATGGTTTTTATCGAGAGATTAGTTGTGCTTCATGTGATTTAGAAAGACTGAAAAACAGTGTAAATATTATTATATCTATTTGAGTCTTTGCATTGACTACATTTAAATGACTCTTGCTTGATGCTTTTGGTGTGAACGCACCATGATAATTTTGTCATATATAACAAACTTTTCTATTTTTAGTAGATAATTAGATTAGATAAGTTTTATAATCCCAAAAAGGTCTTTTTTGTACAATTTTCAAGAAAGAAAATTAAAAAGGTGTCAAAGATTTTAGTGACGTGCAAGACCTGCACACTCCAACAACGTAATAAATCATAAAACGTCAGAGCCTAAGAAAGAAGTGTACTGAAGTGTCACTTCTCTCACGTTTTTCCCTAACATGTTTTTTACTGCAGGCACTTTGATTATCTTTTTTTTCTAAAGCTGTGCTGTTTTGTCTCAGTGTGAGGTTTCGCCTGCAGCACACAAGTCTTTGTGTGTCTCAGTTTCACATTTCAGTCAACTTTCTGGGCCCCACTGCCCTCCAGAACCACAGTTCAAAGCACACCATCAGCCTGAGCTCTGCAATATCCCGATAAGAGGACAACTAATAGAAAGCACATTGAAGCAGGGAGATTACTATAAGGGACAGCGGCTTAAAAACCAGAAGAGTTTGGGGAAGCTGGCAGAGTCGCATTTGTACTGCGACCCCGTCTACCCAGATAAGGTAACAGAACAGCCTCTAAAACTGCCTCCCTGAACAAATGTTTATTTCCATAGTGATTACATTTCCATACACAGATGGAAAGTTTGTTTCAACATATTAAACCAACCCTCAGCTGGGATGTATCAAATGTGTGAAAAACCTGATCCCGTCAGTCAAAGCAAGAGTGGAGTCACAATTTCAGGTTTCCAGCATGATTTCCTGATTGATTCTGGATTAATCTAGAATTGTTATTTATTTGTTCACAGTTTTGTTTCGATGGATCTCAAGACAGCACTGATTGTTCTCAATTTTTTCATTCGGTCTTGACATAAAGTCTTTTACTCTGACTTCCCTGTTTGGCAATTAGCTCTTACTCATCGCCGTATATTATTAGTCAGAGAGTATTGGCGCTTTAAGTATTTCTAAACATTCACTGGTTCTTTAACAACACTATGACAGAGTTTAATTTGCTAATGGTGGCAAGAGGGCTGTTTGGAAAGAGCACTGAAACTCTTCTTCATTTCCAGTGATGTCAGTGCTAAGTTTGTCCTACACTTTAAAGCATGGGCTTAGTTTCAAGGTGAACGCTAGGGTTGGAAATTGAGAACAATCTTTATTCAGAAATGATTCCATTTACTTTTTTTAACACTGGAAACAAATCATATTCATGACATTTAGTTCTGTCTCTAGTTCTGCAGATGTGCTCAAAATTGAAATAAAAGTAGTCTTGACCATATTTCCTGCACTGTATTCTAAACTACTGATGTGTCTAATCTATTATTCCAATAAATCTTTAAGAAAATACAATTTAAGAAAATACTATTTGTTTGTACAAAACAATAAACATACATCTAGCGGATGCTAGACATGCAAATCCATGCAGTTGATTACAAAGAAGTCATGTAGGTGTGGCCAGACGAGCTCCGCCCCTTTGTTGTGTTGGCTGGTGGCATACCCTCTACCCTATTAGTAATCAGTGTGGCATATAAAATGACAACAAGGATAATATGTGTCACGAGTCCCACCCGTTCTGACTGGTCACTTCCCGCTATGTCAGTAACTCGCCGGCAGGTATGTGAATGGCAGCTAGTTTGTTTACAGTTTGCTTCTTTGGGAAAGCTCATGTTAGTATGTTTGTTTAGAGTTACGTCTTATAGGCTTCCCGGTGTGGTTTGCATTTATGGCTGCCCTTCTGCAGGTAACTGACTCGTTGCTGTTTGATTGAAAAGTGACAAGTAAAGTGGTGATCCCGTTATTTGTTTCCTCCCCCTTGCAGCCAGCAGTTTGTAAGCAATTTCACTGTGCATTACGAAATCTCATTTAACCCAACAAATTTGTCTACAGTTTATTAATGATTGAGCGAGCCTGTTTCCCTTTGTGTGTTGGTGTTCCTGTTGCTCTATTGAGTAGGTGAAATTGAGTGTCTGTACTTTGCGGTAAATTATTTTAAAATCCTTTAACTAGCTTGCTCGTCCAATCGATCTAACGGTTAAACTCCTTTAACATTTAATAGACTGAAAGTAATTGCTGGGTGCCATTTGACAACCTGTAGCTATGTGGGAGGTTTCTAACGACGCTGCTGCTTTAGGGGGCTGCTTCACTGCTATTATAGTATTTTTGAATAATGCTTTAGGAGTACTTTTTTTAGTACTAGTGAATACTGCTATGACAAAGTATATTTGAAGGCTGCGGTTGACTGCTGATTTTGAATGCTGTCATTTGGTTTTTCTTTTTTTTTATCTGTAGTCATGCATGGGTAATTTTGCCTAGTGGTGTGTGTGTGTGTGTGTGTGTGTGTGTGTGTGTGTGTGTGTGTGTGTTTTGTCTTGTTTCTACTAATTTGTTTAGATTTTTTTCTATTGAAATTGTATGTTCTCATATTTTGTGTGTGTGTATGTGTTATATATATATATATATATATATATATATATATATATATATATATATATATATATATATATACATATAAATGTGTGTGTATATATGTATGTATGTGTATATATATATGTGTGTGTGTGTGTGTGTGTGTGTGTGTGTGTATATATATATATATATATATATATATGTGTGTGTGTGTGTGTATATATATTTGCTGTGAGGCGACAGCACTACCTACTGCGCCACTGCTTCGCCCTATTTTCCTATATGTATAAACAAAACTATTGACAACACTTTAGCAAGAACATACCACGGTATGCTAAAGAAGCCATGTTTTTTTATACTTTTGTTTCTAGTGTTGAAACGTGATAACAATGGACTTTATTAGGTTTATTAGCCAGTATTGTTATTGGAGATATTAGTAATGGTACACACTCCATATATTACTAAGGTAATTTCCTAAAAATCACTTATTGGCCAGTTCAATCACATCCACTTATCATTATAAAATATACTCTAACAACTTTTAGTATTCAGATCATATTTTGGGTGATATTTGCTTTAAAATTTTCAAAAATAGTTTGTTCTGTTTTTCATTATGATGACAGTACATATTTTTCAAGTAACTTTACAAGAATCTAGTATTCAGTTAAAGTGCATTTTACTTTTTTTTTTAGTGGTAACAATATACCTATTGATCCTGATCAAATGAGGAAATGTAAATATTTTATGTTTTTTTTTTTTTTTTTTTTTAGTCTAGCGACTAATTTGTACAAAATTGTAGGAGTTCTGTCGTACGAAAATGTACTTTTTTTTTAAAGGAGGCGTGGCACCCAACCCCTCTCGGAAACCCATCCATTATTGGGGATAAGTAAATTGTACTAAATCATACTGATAAGATTGTACAAGTTCATACGAATTAGCTACTAAATCAAAAAGTTATGAATTGCTATAAGAAAACATTGAAATGTTTATTGGCCAGTATTGTCATTGGAAAAATACCATTCGTAAATACTGAATACTGAATGTGTGCTTGTTTTTTTTTTTTTTTTTTTTTATGAGACTAAGGTAATTTCTCCAAAAAGGTATCCTCTAGCCCAGGGCTCCCTCCCGTTCTCCAAGAGAGAGGGAAGCTTGAGCTCAGGTAGATCTCAAAAACTCCCTGGCTGAAGATAAACTACTTTGGGAAGGAAGGGAGCATGACAAAGTGCCTGTTTTGCTTTGTCTGTTATGTATTATGCAAATCTTTGGATGGTGGGAGGAAACTAGAGAACCCGGAGAAAACCCACGCGGACATGGGGAGAACATAAAAACTCCGGGTGTGAGGCCCAGGCCCAACAGTGTTTATGCTGTTGGTGTAACAGTGCTAACCACTGGGCCGCCATGCCACCCAATCTATGAGGAAAAAAATGGGAATGGTGGAAGGGTTGCTTCCAGACGAAGATAAATGTTGAATGAAGATTTCGGTAATTTATAGTAACTTAGTATTTATATGATTGGGAGATCACGATTAGCTAATGCCTCTCGAAATTAGTTTATAAATAAACTTAACTTAAAATGCCATTTAAAGGCTTTACTAGGTTATTTATATTAACCAGGCAAATTATGGTACTGTATACTGTATAAGTAAATTATTGGACAACAGAAAAAAATCTTAAGTGAGCTAATAATATTGATCCTATTTTTTTTTTCTTTTAAATAAAACTGATATGTGTAAAAACTGCAATGTAAAAAAACGACTACAAAAATAACAAATTCATAAAATTCATTAATTAAAAAAAATCAGTTATCCTTTCAGGTGTTACAGTTTTTTATTTGGTAAAAATCAATTTGTTGACTTTTGGTTTCTAGTAACATGACAATAATTTTATGCATGGGTGGTTTTATTTTATGTTTTTTTCAAAAGTCAAAATATTTTTTTTATTCTTATAGAATATTAGTGAAGACCAGTTGTCAAATGGTGTGGGTTTTTTTCATTCATTCATTTTCTTGTCGGCTTAGTCCTTTTATTAATCCGGGATCGCCACAGCGGAATGGACCGCCAACTTATCCAGCAAGTTTTTACGCAGTGGATGCCCTTCCAGCGGCAACCCATCTCTGGGAACATCCACACATACATTCATTTTCTTGTCGGCTTAGTCCCTTTATTAATCTGGGGTCGCCACAGCGGAATAAACCGCCAACTTATCCAGCAAGTTTTTACGTAGCGGATGCCCTTCCAGCGGCAACACATCTCTGGGAAACATCCACACTTACATTCACACACACACTCAATTTAGTCTACCCAATTCACCTGTACCGCATGTCTTTGGACTGTGGGGGAAACCGGAGCACCCGGAGGAAACCCACGCGAAGGCAGGGAGAACATGCAAACTCCACACAGAAACGTCAACTGAGCCGAGGTTCGACCCAGTGACCTTCTTGCTGTGAGGCGACAGCACTACCTACTGCGCCACTGCCTCGCATGTGCTGTTTTTTCTAAAATACTAAAGAACTAGAAATGGAAAAAATAAATCAAAATCAAAACTACACATAATCCCCAACCTTTACTTCCTTTATAAGCAACAATGAATTAGCAGAATGCATCACTGCCACTTTTATCATATAAAACTACTCCACAGCTTGTTTGGATGTGTTTCCTTCTGTCTTTCCACTCCACCGCTTCTCTGTTTGGCCTGTGACAGACTTTGGCTCAGTTTGTTCTCCATTGCAACATCCAAAACATCCTATTTAGATTTTTTTCCCCCTTTGAAGGACACACGTGGGCCACACCTAAATGAACTCTACTTCCTGTGGAAAGAAGCTCTTGAGAGGTCTTTTTCCCCCCTTCACTCAAACTCTCGTTTTCCTACCCTTGACTTCACGAAAGATCCCACCTTCTGTCCACGTGAGGAGACTGTTTACGAACTGTTGTGACACCCGTTTTCTTGAAGGACGGCTCTGTTGGAAAAGCAAAGGCGTACAATGAGACCAAAGTAATAGGAAGAAGAACGCACTCAATCAACTTTTGGACATTCAAGGTCTCTTGAATCCAGAGATCAGATATACATTAAACTGCACAGAATTGAAACCAATAGATTACAGCTTGCACATTTTCAGTGGTGAAAAGAGTGGGTAAAATGTGAGATTAATTAAGGGTGACAAAACATTACACTGTAAAAAATATCTGTTAACATTTTCCATATTTTGTGATAAAGTGTTTTCTGTTTATTCATGGTTGTGAATTGTGTAATGGGACCTTGATGTCTGCTCTGTCAACTTTTGATGTTAAAAATTCAACTCTACAATTTAACAAAGTGACTTTTATTGAATTTTTTTAGTTTGAAATGTAATATAATGTATAAGAAATACTATACATATAAATAAATCTATAAAATAACAAAATGTACTAGTTTATTACTTAGTTTATTCGTAACTGTCAGGGTTTTGTTACTTCGTTCTTATCAATTGTTGTTTTGGTGGCAGAATCCAGCACTAATCCTTTCCTGTCTTGTAAGGTTAACTCTTATCCTGTTCTTGACTGTCTTTGTCTTTTGGCCACGTTCAGGCCATGCGTGCTCCCACTTGATTCGGACGCGCAGTGTCGAAGCGTACTTGGGATGAGTTCTCTGATTGGCTATGTGTTCTAGTCCCGTTTTACATGAGCACATGGCTTTTGTTGTTTCTTTGTGTCTTGTGCTCTCCTGTCTATTGTGTAGTCCCACCCTCTTTTGTTAATCCATTATTAGTTTTTTAGGTTCACCTGTTTGTTTATAATTATTTCTACTTTATAGTCTCCTTATGTTTGCTGTCCTGTGCCGTTGTCGTTTATCCCCTTTTCCTGTACCGTTCCAGTCTTGCCAGCCCAGCCCAGTCCAGTTTGTCTTTTAAGTTATGTTTTCCCCCTTTAGGGTTGTGTTTTGACCTTTTCAAGATGAAATATTGTTTGAAAGAAGATCAAGGAAAAATAAAACATGCATCACAATACGGAAAATTTACAGATATTTTTAAAATATATGCACCTATGATTTAAATCTGAAGCAAAATTTGTGTAGCTGAATGGGCAAAATTTAATTTATTTCAAAATAAGGATTTTAGGAATCTTTTAGGATTTCCCAAATTTGTCTCAGATGACAAAACCGTGGCTGAAATCACACAGTGTGAGAAGGGTTTAATTCATACGCAGCCAGGAGGTAATTGTCTTATGAACAATATCTAATAAAAACATCTTGATTTCTGCTTAATGTTAGGTGCTGTTGACAGTTAGTGATGGATAGTTAAAAGGCTTGTTTTTTAATGAGAAAAGTTGGGACATTGTATATAAGCATTGATTAGTAGCTTGGTACATGCAAGCCAAACTAAATATTTAGTATAATCTCATTTCAATATTTTAGCGTTTGTCCCACTTAATTTTTTTCCCTGCATTTTATGATTCATATTATTTTTTATGCTTTTGAATCATATTATGAGATCTTGATCTTTCTTCTTCTTTCTTTCTTCCTTCAAAGTTGGAAAAAGTGACTTTTATTAACATATTTAATAGCTTAAGGTTGGGATGCACCGATATGGATTTTTTTGCCAATATCAGTAACCGATAACGTTTAAGATTTGAAGGCAGATAACCGATATATTAGCAATACCACACTGAACAAGTTTAACCCACGCATGCACGAGGCAGGTAGTTCTGTACAATTACTGTACATAATATATCAGTTTAAAGATATTGGCCTAATTTTGATATTGGACTAATAATGATAACATTAAAAACAACATTTATCGGCCAATATTTATATGGCCGCCAATATATCAGCCATCTAGTTTGAAGTGATAAATTCTGTGGGTTGCTGTTGTATACTGTATTATGCTACAAAAACTGCCAGTATATTTTCTGTTATTTTTAGATTGATTTCTCTAAATATTATTTCTTCTACATCATATCATTTCAAACTACTTAAGTGTCAGTCAAAGTCACTTTATTAAACTGTAGAGTGATCAAGTCGACAGAGCAGACATCAGCATCCCATAATGCAATTCACATGCGTAAATAAATGAAAAACACAGTATGGAAATTGTTAATTACCAGATATTATTATTATTATTATTATTATCATCGTTACAAAAAAGCATGCCTTAAATCCAGTTTTAAGAGGTAAATTGTGAGCTAAAATCAAAAGTGTTACTCAAACTACTTTTCAATGCTTCATATTTGAGGAAAATTCCTTGTGAGACTTTGGTGACTGATGTGACTTTGCGCAGATAACATTTCCACTGGACGGGAGCCCGCGGAAAAGACCGCGTGGCGTGGCAAAATGGGGGCCTGCAAAAGCAATGTTCGCTCTACATGCTGTTCCTTGGCTTCCAGCATCCCGATTTGGAGGGCAGCCGAAAAAGTCCAGCATCCGTCCAAACATTTTAAGAAGATCTAAGGCATGCCATCTTGCTGGCAGCTTTATGAATGCTATTTATCTGCATCTACCGCATATGTGCGAAGACACTCTGCTGTAAACGGCCTAACTGAAATAACAGCTCCGTCCAGAGGAAACGAGATGACGATAATGTAAATGACAGCTGTTAAGCAGACATATACTCAGTGTTTTGTTAAATTATGTAATGTGTTGCCATTATGAGGTCATGGTTTTAGCATTACATAAGATGACAGTATCAGGGTTAATGAGAAATATGAGTGTCAGTGATAAAAAAAAAGGAGTAATTGTACATAAAAAGCACATATGCTGTCTTCTTAGAAATACATATTTGTTTATATTGTTATATTTACCATACATTTTTTTTTATTAAAGTTTTCAGTTATTGTCATGTGGTGTAACTAAGTAAAATGTGCTGTAATAAAACATTTACCTTACACCCAGAACATGTCTACACACCTTAATCCTTAACAAGAGTAAAGTTGTCCTCACTGTAAAAAATCCACACAATTGATTTTTGTCTGGACAACATGAAAGAATTAAGTTAACTTATGTGTTTTTATAAAAAATTTAGGTAGATTGAACATAAAACAGTTAAGTTGTCCAAAAAATCAGCTGTTGTTTCAGCCCATTTTATAGATTTAGTTTGAACATCAGCAAATGTCTATTAATTATTTATTAAATATACAGTAACAGTTTTGGTCTGTTGCATCACATGACTTTGTTTTGGCGGACAAACATTGTATTGTAATAATTGTATTATATTCATTTTATGTATTAATTTAACTAAGGGGCAGCACGGTGGTGCAGTGGGAAGCACATATGCCTTACAGCAAGAAAGTTGCTGTTTCGGGTCTCGGCTGGGTCAGTTGGAGTTTTTGGGCCCTATCATACACCGAGCCCAATGTGGCACAAGGCACGACACAATTGTTATTTGCTAGTTTCAGCTTGGCGAAAGAGTCATTTTGACGTTTTCCGGTAAAGCTTTCTTTTACAACCCGCAAAGTACCGCGTAAGTACAGTGAAATTACAGTGTACTTTTCTCTATGTACTGTGTAAGTATAATGAACGTATGTGTAGGTAAAAGGGAACAAACTGTAATGCTTGGGTAAAAAGGGGGTAACAACCAGATGTTCATCACGAAAATTACTGCGTAAGTACAGTGAAATAACCGTGTACTTTTCTGTACGTATAGTGTAAGTATAAATAACATTTACGTAGGTATAAGGGAACAAACTGTAATGCTGGGGTAATAAGGGGGTAACAACCAGATTTTCAGCATGAAAAGTACCGCGTAAGTACAGTGAAATAACGGTGTACTTTTCTTTAAATTGCAAAAGAACAAACCATAATGTTTGCGTAATAGGGGAGTAACAATAAGATATTCTTCACGCAAAGAACCGCGTAAGTATATTACGTTTACGATGTACTTTTCTTCAATATGCAAGGATGGTGACAACCTATTGCTATCTGCAAATGTACTGTACATGCACCTGCGTGAGTACATTAGTACTCTTATTCAGTGCTTGGGTTTTATATGGGGTGTTTAATGAATAAAAGGTTTACAACCTGTGAAATTATGAACCCTTATTGTATACTGTATGTATTTTAAATCTGTAATTCAATATAAAATATATTTCCATACACTACTTACCTTATGTTTACTCGTCGATCTCACAAAAGCCATCAATGTCTCCATAACTCACTATCAACAAATAACTTTGCATGATATAGGCCTACCGTCAGGGTTCAATGCAGATTAAAACAGGCTTGCATCTTTACTGCTGTTTGCACAGGGGGGCTAACTGTTATAGAAAAATGTAGTAATTTGGTCCTCAATCAATAAAAACTGCTGCTGTAGTTTACTCTGTTATTAGTGTTCAAGTATACACTAGTGTGTTAAAGTTCAGCTTCTTCCCTCTTTGTTCCCTGTAGTTAAAGGGTAAATACAGTATTTGTTCCCTCCTTGTTCCCTGTACTTACAGGGTAAATACCACATTTGAGGGTTGTAAATTAAAGTGAAGCAATGTTCCTCCTTTGTTACCCCGTTGTTCCCTGTACTTACAGGGTAAATTCCACATTTGAGGGTTGTAAATTAAAGTGAAGCATTGTTCCTCCTTTGTTACCCCCTTGTTCCCTGTACTTACAGGGTAAATACCACATTTGAGGGTTATAAATTAAAGTGAAGCATTGTTCCTCCTTTGTTACCCCCTTGTTCCCTGTACTTACAGGGTAAATACCACATTTGAGGGTTGTAAATTAAAGTGAAGCATTGTTCCTCCTTTGTTACCCCCTTGTTCCCTGTACTTACAGGGTAAATACCACATTTGAGGGTTGTAAATTAAAGTGAAGCATTGTACCTCCTTGTTCCCTGTACTTACAGGGTAAATACCACATTTGAGGGTTGTAAATTAAAGTGAAGCATTGTTCCTCTCTTGTTACCAACTTGTTCCCTGTACTTACAGGGTAAATACCACATTTGAGGGTTGTAAATTAAAGTAAAGCATTATTCCTCTCTTCTTACCCCCTTGTTCCCTGTACTTACAGGGTAAATACCACATTTGAGGGTTGTAAATTAAAGTGAAGCATTGTACCTCCCTTGTTATCTGTAGTTATTGGGTAAATACAACATTTGTTCCCCCCTTGTTCCCTTTAGTTTACAATGTAAAATCTTGAAGGCAGTAAAATAAATATGCAAACACACAATATATTTCTTCTTTACTTTGTAACCTTTATTTTAATAAATAAGCATTTTAAAACACTTCATCTTAATCAAACATTGTCTCGTCTATCATTGCCTATATATATACTCATTCATTTTCTCTTCGGCTTTGTCCTTTTGTTAATCTGGGGTTGCCGCAGTGGAATGAACCACCAACTTATCCAGCATATGTTTTACGCAGTGGATGCCCATCCAGCTGCAACCCATCTCTGGGAAACATCTATACACACCCATTCACACGCATACACTACAGACAATTTAGTCTTCCCAATTCACCTGTACCGCATGTCTTTGGACTTTGAGGGAAACCGGAGCACCCGGAGGAAACCCACACGAACGCAGGGAGAACTCCATGCAGAAACGCCAACTGACCCTGACGAGGCTGGAACCAGCAACCTTCTTGATGTGAGGAAACAGCACTACCTACTGTGCCACTGTGTTGCCACCCAGCTGCAACCCATCACTGGAAAACATTCATACACACTCATTCACACACATACACTACGGACAATTTTAGCTTATGCTGGGATAATTGGCAATGCAGCACACCTGCGCAAGCTTACGCTGCCAATTCATTTTATTCATTGGCCCGTTCAATACTCTTCAGACAAGCGGCTTCTGATCCAAAACCTCCCATACGTAGATTTTCACAAAGATCAAATCCACTTATAGCACTGGGTTATTTCTGTAACCTCGAACGTTCTCAACTGGTTTGGCCATGGGACCCACATTTTTACATGGTCATCAAGCCGCGACCCAAATTTTTAGGAACTAAATACAATTTTAGGAATTATAATTAATTTGTATTTATTTGTTAACATACACAAGTATTGACAGATACATCAAAAGACATTCAGAGACTTACAAATAAACAATATTTTATTGCTGTCATTTAAAATAATGGATCAAATTATAGAAATATTACAAAGTAAAAACGACAAATACTGTTAACAGTGGTTAAGGTAAGGAAATGTTCAGTTACCATGAACTAAACTGAACTGTTGATAAAACATGTCATCTGGTTTCTAAATGTCGTTTTAATTTAGAAGGATTCATGCTCTCTTATGAGAGCACCTCACTACATATGACATACTGAGGCTTTAAGTCTTTTTTGTCGTACTTGCGCTTCGACATATTTGTGGCTATAATTAAATGAAATTTCACATGTCAATTGTAAGGGTTGTCACGCACAAATTTCAAAATAAAAGTCCGGTATAAGAAAAATAAGTAAAAAAATTTACTTTTGTTGTTTTTTTTTGACCACACACTCCGCGACCCACTGAAAATGTTGCTGTCCTGACACACCTTTGGGTCACGACCCACCAGTTGAGAAACACTGCTTTAAATAACCATTGTGTATATAATGTTCTATACAAATAAACTTGCCTTGCCCAGCTTATTGTAAAGGATAGCAGAAATGTAAACAAAACTCAAAGGTGAGATATTGCAGGTTGGAGTACCACATGAATTGGATGAACCTGTGGATATATGAAAGCCAGGCACACAGACAGATGAACTCAGGGAAAATCAGCAACAACCAGAGGAGGGAACAGGAGAAACTACACTAGGAAGGAAAGGCAAAGACATTGGATATCATAGCAGACAAGAGAGGCAAATAAACTTGGAGAGGAGCGTGCAGTCCTTCATGTAGCAACTAGGCCAAACACTGAGTGGCGAGTGCTGTTTCTGGTTTTTATGGGGCTGAAGTGACGATGTGCAGGTGCTGGGCTAATTAGAATTCAGGTGACTGTGATTAGGGTGATTTTGGTGACTGTGGCTGCATCCAAAATACTTTCATACTATATAGTATGCTGAAAACAATATGCGAGTCGAGTAGTATGTCCAAATTTGAGAGGGTCTGGCTGCAGACCTGGTGCAGTGCAATCTGGGCTGCATCCAATGCTTTTTAATGGGGTCATCTAACACCACCCCTATCCCTACCCGTCACAGTGATGTCACTAGCTCCTTTTGAGTGCATTGTGTCTGACATTGCATCGCTGAGTGATGCATTCTCAGCTTGCATCATAAAGGCTGCATCCAGATACTATTGCCAAATTCATTGAATTCGAATAACAATATGTGAGAAGTACCTGGCTGACCTGGCGAAATTCTGAAGTGAGCATTCA